GTATCATTATAGCTAATAACCAAATAGGCTGTAAAAAATTACATCTAATAATTAAATATTTAATGTGTGCAAGATTGCTTGATCAGATATTAACTTGAGGGAAGCAGAGTGAAACGCTGTATCAAATACAACATTTTCTCATTCTATTGACTTATGGGCTAAAAGGTGTAAAACAGCTTACTTTGGTAGGAAGCAACAGCCCTGCTTTCCCATTCATGTATTTTGTATTATAAAATGACTCTGGTTGCCACGGAAACAAAAAGGCAGCAGATCTCATTACTGGGGTCTGACCACATTATTTTCTCCAAGGAATTTCTTCTTTTCATTATTTTTCTCCAAAGGTCAGATATCCTCTGAGGCAGGGCGGGAGAAATCTGCAAAGGTGAACCATATTCATGGCAGAATTCCCTTGATAGAATTTACAATCATTTTGTTTTTTCTTTTTCTTCCTTTCTTTTTTTGTACTTATCAAAAGTGTCCTTTCAGTACACTTTACCTATTAACCCATTCCCATTCATATTTTTGCTTATTCTGTTACATTCATTCTAGTGATTTTTATCAATATATATTATCCCATAAATATATATATAGATCACAAGGGGATCTTTCAGACAACGTTACTGATATATATATATATATATATATATATATATATAACCAGGGGGACTGCACTCACCCGAACATGTATGCAATTCATACAACATTTCAATGATTTTTCTAAAACAGCTAACAGGTAAAAATAATGTGTTTTCCTTATGAGACAAAAAGTTTCAATCTATAATTTTTTTTTGCTCTTTTCTGAAACACCAAAACACCACCATATGAACAAAAATGAATACATCATTAACATGTTAAAAATATTCTATCACATTTGGGCACCTTTGCATATTAAAAAAAACTAAGGTGACAAGCCCACTTTCTTGCATGCTCAAAGGTATGTACTTACCGTTACTTGCAGTGCAAAGCTTTTAGGGTCACTCTGCAAATCATGCACAGAGATCATGAATTGTATTAGATGGTGTGTGCCGGGTATGTAAAATGCAAATACAAAAATTAAGACATAGTCTTAAATTAGAGGGACAAAGGTTTAAAAATAATATCAGGAAGTATTACTTTACTGAGAGGGTAGTGGATGCATGGAATAGCCTTCCAGCTGAAGTGGTAGAGGTTAACACAGTAAAGGAGTTTAAGCATGCGTGGGATAGGCATAAGGCTATCCTAACTATAAGATAAGGCCAGGGACTAATGAAAGTATTTAGAAAATTGGGCAGACTAGATGGGCCGAATGGTTCTTATCTGCCGTCACATTCTATGTTTCTATGTTTCTATGTTATCCCTAATGAGCACAGTGTCATTGTCATCCTCATGTGCATCTTTGAAAATACATAAAACACAGAGGCCTATGAAGGTTCCTGTCAGGCAGCGGTCAGGCAAAAAAGATTATGGTCTTGATTTAATTTTGTTATTATTATTCATTTCTTTTTTTTTTTTTTTTTTTTGAGGCAATGAGAAAGTACCAGACAATTGAGAGGGAGCATTAGCATGCTTGCTGATGTGCAAATAAGAGTTGCAAGAACAATAGAGTGGGTAATGCATAGTTAAGGGAACATACAAGAATCTACTCCCGTCTAAATCTGCCTTTTGCAGTTGATTAATAGGAGAACCCCAAAAGGCAGCTAAGTACCCTAGTATAACATCAGACAGTCAGTCCACCTCCACCATTGGTAGGGAGAGTCCCACACAATAAACTGAGGCTTTTGAGACTCCTGCTCATGACTCGTCAGGCCTTCATGCTTCCTCCAACATTGCTGCCATGATTGGGCTGATCTTATTCGGACAGCCCCAGTCCTACGCTTAGCCCGACGTGCGCTGTTGTGCAGGCTATTCCGGCAGTGTCCAGTAGTACGTCTGATGTGCGTTAGCACATCAGCTGAGAATGAGGAACTCCAGTAGTCTTTTAGGCCTGTAACGCCATGTTGGCCCTGCTCTTGGAGTGGAAGACTGATTTCATATTTTTTTTTATAAGCTTTTCAAATAATTTAACATTGTGGCCATGATTGGGCTGATCTTACTGGGACAGTCTCAGTCCTATCCTTAGCACCATGTGCCATTTTGTGCAGGCTATTCTGGTGGTGTCAGGTAGTATGTCTGATGTGCAGCATCTGGGTAAGCCGAGAATAAGAGACACGAGTAGTGGGTCTTTTAATCCTGTGACACCATGTTGGCTCTGCTCTTGGAGTAGAAGACTGATTTAATATTTTTTCAAATAACATCATTTTTGTATTTAAAAACATGTTTTTTTCAAATATTATATTTTTAAAAATACATCTTATCCAAATATAGCAATATATCAAAACATCTGAACATATTAATATAGAAAGTATTAAATCATTTGAAAATACAAAAATAAATAAATTATGATCTAAAAGACAACAAAGTAAAAGATCAAATTTAATCAAATGCATAGTACTCAATAATAGACTTGGGCACTGCCAAAATTTTCATTTTGTCAAAATACATTCAACCAAAAAAATTATTTTGTTTAGTCCGAACTGAATTTTGTGTGTTTGTTCAATCATTTTTGGATGACATTTGGACATCATTTACATGTCAGAATTTCATTTGGGGCCACGCTGTGGAATTAGCAAACTATTTGGAAGATAGCTACTAAGAAGCTGAATTACCACAATTACAAAAAACCCTTCTTTTATGTAATTTTGATCTTTCAGACAACGTTACTGATACTAAGTAATAAATATTAACTGCTCTCCAGTTTCTAATCCAATTAAGGGGGGCCTGGCACAGATGACCATGGTGGGGCACCTAATAAATTAGAGAGGATATAGTGTCCCACTCTTGCCCGCACCCACACCCGTCAAGTGCAAACTATTAAACTAAGTGGGGAGGGACCTAGTGCCACCCTCCAGCCCCAACTCATGGTCAAAAAATGAACAGGGGAACCCCATTTCCTGCAAGAGATGGCTAATAAACTAAATAGAGGGCTATTAAATTAAACAGGTGTATGCCAGCTGTGACTGTGGGGAGTCGGTCCACTAACATTATTATTTAGAACCCCTACCCACCACCCATGGGGGGACTGTGGGACACTATCTCCCCCTTTCAATTTATTTAATACGCTATGGGTGTTGGCTGTAGGTTCCCCCAATTTAATTATTTTATTAGGTGCTCCACCATAGGGGCATGGGGAACCTGTGTCAGATCCCTCTTTTTTTTTGATTAGCTTATTTTTTAGTTTCTTATCTTTTTTTATAAAGGTGAGTAACCAGTGGCCGTTTAGTAAACATGCTCCTACTCCTGGCATGGAGGGTAGATGCCGAATGGATAATTATTTAACTACTAATATGATCCCCATAGGCCAAGGTTTAGGGGGATCATGGGGGGATTTAGAAATAGGGATGGTTGATATATCAGCCATAGGGAGGACTGATATACCTCACCAACACATGGTGCACATGGCCAATCAAAGTAAAGCCAGTGATCAGAGGAAAGGATGAAGGAAAGAACTGAGGCTGAAGAAGGGGTATAGACCTATGCACGTTCTGCACATACGGTTGGTTTAACTTTTTATATCAGCAAGAATATTTTAAATGTCTTAAATTAGTATTCTAGTGTTATGAATGCAAAGATGTATTTCTAACACTATTGGAGCCCTCTGATCCTTTTCCTTGCAACCCCATGCAATATAAAGGGTTAAATAACCCTTTAAACACTTTTGTGATTCCAGCACTGAGGTCCCTCAGCTCTGGGTCTTGCTCACCCTACACCAATGTCAGCCGATCGTGGGAACCTAATGCGCATATGTGACGAGTGCCTTAAGCACATTAGGCCTTCCCAATAAGAAAGCATTGAGTCATCACTCTCCTATGAGGATTCTGAAAACGCTGGACGTCCTCATGCAAAGTGTATCCTAAGTGTTCAGATTATATTGCATATTATATTGGCATATGCACCCCTGTCATGGTCAAATAGTGGTTACAACATTAAAATGCTATGTAAAGTAGTCTGATGAAAACAATCATTAGTTCTGAGATTCCAGGTAGTATTACATTAAATTATAAAGTACCTCAATAAATGCACTATTAAATTCTACCTTGGACATATGAAGTCCCATATTAGGATAGGAATTCAGGATAGATTTTACAGGTTTAATTTAAAATAAATCTAAAAGATTTCCTCCACATAGTTCAACTCCATGGAGCTAAACTCAAAGACAGAGTTTAGCTCCATGGAGCTAAACTCAAAGACAGATGCATTGATAGGCTTCTTTTTTTTTTTTTTGAATTCTTTATTTTTGTTGTGCAGAGAGTTACAGGTTATCGACATACGCCACAACAGCGTGTTTGAAGATGCGTTTAGGTTTGACAGTGGCATGAGAGATTGCACATTTTTATATAAGTAAAACAATTTTAAGCCAAACAGCGAGAACGTTAGCATAAGATATGGTGGTCCACGTTTAACATAGCTCGTTCATCTTTGCTAGTGTAGTTGTAGTGTCGTGATATGGTTTGCAATATAATGATATCTGGACCATATGTGTTGTATATACAGGTTGCGCTACTCTTATATATGCTGCGTTGCATGAAATAAAAATTTTAAAGAACGAAAGAAAACGCTTAACAATTAACAATGCTAGAGCTTGCCTGTAGCATAAGGTGTCATCGTTACACATTCCACATGCTAATGCAAACAGTTGTGTGGTGAGCAATCAAGGAAACCTGCGTGGGTTTGAGTTAGTCTATGCGCCTTCATGCTTAATATGTAGTCGCTTGGTCTCGAGGAATTCCCTCTCTATGGTCCCCTATGTGAGTTGTTGGAAGGGATGTGCAGGGCTCGGTTACATACAGACAGTTGTGGGAGTTCATCTGAGTTATGAAAAATTAGTGAAAAAATAAAGAAAAAGAAAAATAATAGAAAAAATAAGTAAAATTAAAAGAGGTGATGAGTCCTTTGCTAGGCAATGAGTCCCAGTGCTGTGTGGTTCATCCGATGCCTTGTAGAGGCTCCCCTTGTGCCATCTGCTGCTGCTGTGATGTGAGCTGCGGTTCTCCCAGTCCGGTGATGCGAGGGTGGAGTGTCTGAGTGTAGGCCGGCATCTGGTGTGGTAGGTATGATGTGGCTCTGATAGAGGGCCCTGCCCGACTGTGTGTCTGTAGGCTGAGTCTGTGCTTGTGGCGTTGTGCTATTGCGGCCCCCATGGTGTACTTTGTGGTCTGCCGTTTGTTGATGTGAATGGGATGGTTCGTACCTCTCCTAGGCTGTTTCACGTCCGGACGGTGAGTTTGACTTCCGCGCCGCCTTCGTCCTGCAGCGCCCCCAGTATGTTTTACCTGGGTCCGGCTGTGGTTGCCCTTAGTGAGGCTTCGGGTCTTCGCTAGCAGGGCGGTCTTTCTCGGGAGCTTGTGGGGACCGGGTACGGAGCCGGCGGTGTATGCCGGTACTCCCATCCGGGTCCCTCGTGCTGGTTCTTGTGTCTTGCCATCCGGCTGGGCCTCCTGCTCCGAGGGCCACGCGAGTTTCTCCAGCTGCTCCCAGAAGGAGTCGAATATGCGGGTGAGCCGGAGCTCCGTGTCTCGTCCGGCCTTGTGGAGGGCCGAGGCGTGGTTGCCGTCCGCCATTTTGTCGGCCTTGTCTGCAGTTTCCACACCGCGCGGTTGTTTCGTCCGCTCATCTCCTTTCAAGGGGATCGTGAGGGGGTGGACCGGGATGACCCCCGCCGGTCCAGGGGGGGGGGAACGAGGGCTCGGAGGCCAGTTCCTGGCTGGTACAGGCAGCGGGAAAGCGGCCGTCTTCCCCGCGCCCTCCCTGCTGGTAGGCCCCGTCTTGAGTCTGGGTGCGCCTGAGGGGCATCGTCGCTTGTGTGGTGTCTGTTTGTGCGCCTCATAGTCGCCTGTCGCTTGGTGGCCGTAAGGAATCAATTTAGTGCCTTTTTGGGGTCTTAAACCCGCTTTGGTTGCCCTGAGTTGCAGGAGCTGCTGAGACATGCTTCCTCACAGTTCAGCGGTCAGGCCCCGCCCCATTGATAGGCTTCTTAATGAGCTGTAATACAGTGGTAATTGGACAAAAGCATACACGTGGCTGGTCAGCAAGGTGTCTATATGTGAAGCCTCAATCATGTTTTTTTTTTTAGAAGGCTTGAAGTAGCACCATATACTACATACATCAATATATTTGCACCTATTGTTTAGACTTCTGTGAGGAAAAACATAATGAATGAAGCAATGGTGATGAACCAAGGCAATCAGGGATTACATAAGGCATCCAAATGCAAATACTGTCCATTAAACCACCACTAATAGGTTCATTCAGAGCTTACTGTAAATATTTCATATCTGTGCCAATATGTATTAGTGCAATGGTGTCTGATGACCCTATTCTTTAAACTATATCAATTCCCTTTCTCTTGTCTAACCTTTTACAGATAGTCTCTGAAGAATAGAGTGTAAGTCAGCTCAGTTATTTGGACTCTACCAAATTGCCATTGAAACATTAAACACTACCTAATTGGCAAAAAGAGCCTGCATTGATTCAGCAGTACAAAAAGGATCAACAGTATATCAGTACAGTGTAGTTTAATCAGGCCTGTACATCATTGATCAGATAATGTCAAGGTATGACATGATCATCTTGTCGAATAGAATTGGAGATTTGTTTATATTCCTGTCAATTTTCTGTCAGTAAAAAATCAGATTTCTGAGCCACCATGCTGCAGAATCGTGGAAGAACTGACCTTTCAGAAAAGAAAAAGTCAGATACTTCCATATTGGCACTCACACAGTTTGAGTGGTAGAGAGAGATAGTCTGCTTCATTCATCCTAGTGTGACACTGTTGTTTATGTCTAGTGCAGTATACCTTAGTAGCCACTGTCAATTAACACCAGCTTGAAATCATTAATTTACTGTTGTTATTTTTTTTATTTAATTATTTATTTATTTATGTATTTAATTATCCATCTATTTATTGTTATCTGTTTAAAGAAAGAACATCCTTTTTTTTGGGGGGGGGGTTGTTGTTAGTAAAAAAAAAAAAAATGAAACAGTTAATCTAGCTACTTCCACATTGCAAGTCACGCAAACTGTAAAGTGGTAGAGAAAGAAGGTCTGCTTAATTCATCCTAGTGTGACACTGTTGTTTACGGTAAGTGCAAGGTCCTACTATTAGCCAGTGCCACTGCCATGGCCAGCTTATATCAATTTGGAATCACCAATTTACATTAGTTATTTATAATTATTTTCTCTGTTTGGAGAAAGAAACACCATCCATCGTATTTTCTAATCCTAAAAAGAAATTGAAGAAGGGTTGTCTTAACACCTCTTCCTCAACCATGAGGACAGCCTTTTCATACTGCAATCACTTCTGCTGCTACTGAAGATCCTTGTACCACAGCTAGTTCAATCATTACAGCCACTGCATTTTATGGCCCTATGAGCAAGGCATCTATTAAACCAGTGGACTTGTTGTCATTGCCTGTGGGACCCCCTATTTCTTGTATTAACCCCCAAATAACAGAAAAGGCTCAGCAGAAACTTTGTCAGTGCTATCAGTGTCACTCTTTACTGAAGAGCAATGTAGTGTCCCCAATGTCTGGTCTTGGTGACATTGAGGAATGTAGTAATGATGATATCAGTTTTCCCCCACCACTACAGACATTTGTTCAAGTATTCACCAGGAGAAAAAAAACTTATACATAAATACAAAAGGAGATTTCAGAGAGGAGAGTCAGCATTACACCATTTTCTGCACCTACTATGCACTCACCATTTTGACTATCTGTAGTAGAAGTCCCTCATTTAATGAAAACTATTGGCGCATCATCTCCTACCAGTGCTAGTATCTTACCCAGGGATATTATTACCACCACTTCCCATCCCTTTGCCATTAGTTAAGCAAGTACCAATGCACAGGATAGTGTTGTGATGGCTTTCACTGCTACTGCTGAAAGGCACAGGCTAAAATATCAAGACAAAGCAAAACTTGGCATTACTTTAACAACTTAAAGACTTTCCTGAAGTTCAAAGTATACAATTGTGCAACAAACATGTCAATCGATCTCTCTTATCTCTAATCTGTGTCTGGTCAAACACCAGCTATAGTCATACACACTGACCACTGTCTACAATTTGAGAATGTGTTGTTACAGGGAGCATTCTGAATCCTCAATGCTCACATGTGTCCCTGCAGCTGAGCAAATAGTCTTCCTCTAGTTCAAAGTTTAAAAAAAATGGACTGCATTCACACATTACTGGAAATATAACTACTACACTACATTGAGCTTATGGTGCTTGGAACATCTCTTAAAAGGTATGGCTTATTTTCTGCAAACCAGATCTAAGAAAGCATTATTTTGTACACCACTTTCATATCAATATAATTTAAAATGGAACTCTGCTCTATTTTTGTTATAACACAAGGATAAAATAAATACATGTAAAATAAAAGAAAAAAGCTAAGTTTTATGATTATCAACTGATAAAAATGTAAAGCCAGAAATCTCCTTAAGAATTTATCATTTGAAAATGTATCTTTCTTTTGAAGATGTGGAATTATTATAATCTTAACTGTGCACTGTTTCAAGTTGAATCCCTAGATATCACAGTTTCTGGTAATCAGCTACCAGAATCTCACTCATTTAGATAAACACTAATTTACATAAACACTTTTTTTTAAATCAAATTCTGTTAATGTTTCCCCAGAAAGAAAGAAAATCAGCTTTGGAAATTAAACACCTTGATTCCTAACAGAACATAAAATAAAAATAAGAAATACAAATTTCTCTTTATTGTATTATGTTACAGTATAATAATATGAAGTGGATCATATTATTATTAATAACAATGTTATTAAAGTAGATGTACCATATGCAGTTTAATAGTTAATACATAAAAACACACACTACATTATTATATTATGTACTATTATTATGTCACTACATGTAGGTGCATTACCAGCAATTCAGGATACAAAAGAATGTGAGAAGATATGGAAGATACAAAAAGAGTGGGTCTTCAAAAAATGACCATATGCTTAGGCATAGGAATCCTTACATTAAATATCAGTCAATTAAGAGCAAAAGACATATAAAAATGTACAGAAGAAAAACATAAATAGGTAGAATTGTATTATTTAAAGAAAATTACAAAAGACAGATGTTCCTCGTATGTTGTAACTGCCTTTACCTCCAGTGTGGATTTAGATGAATTACTTTGCATTAATATGTAACTAAATTTATTTTATAAACTAAAATAAAGTTTTTAAAAAATGTATGGATTAGTGAACGCCACTGGATTGTACAGTTTATGCCCCAAAGTATTGATCAGATCTATATCATAAGGCAGAGTTCTCAACTATCCCAATTTTGGTGGGACAGTCCCTATTTTAAGATCTTGTCCCTTAAGATCTTTGCCAGGTTGATTATCTAGTGCTCCACATCTGAGGACATAAGGGAACTGTCACAACAGAAGAACATCTCATTTCAAATTAGAAGAAATCTTCATAATGGCAACCTTTAAAGATTGCATGAGTGCACTTTTTTACTGGCTACATCTTCTTTTCTTTGAACAATATAAAATAATAATATAAAAATATAATATAAATCTAATGATTTTGTAGACAGATATTTTCAATGACTACTTTGAACCTAATCAAAGTATTAATTAAATATGAAAGCTGAAATTCTTTCAAAATCATGGACTTCTAATATTAAGCAGGAACAAGTAATTTATAAACTACATTTTCACAAAGCAATCTGTCTTCCACATTGTATAACACAAGATATGCTTTACAATATAATAAAAATAGTATAGTATACAAGATGATGAGTCCCTGATTACCTTGTGATGGTTCTTCGTTACAAAATCTCATGTATTTCTGGTGAAAAAAAAGCTAAAACAATTCTTCTGCAATTCTTCATAGTATCAATTCATTGTCATGTAAATTAGTAAGAGCATTAGTTATGCTTAACAAACCTCCATGCCTTTAGGAACGTGGAGAAAAAAAAATCAACCAATCAGATATGTTTAAAGTAATCTTTCTTAGTACACCATTTATTTTAATCATACAGATATCTTTTTATAATCTGTCCATGACTGAATAGCAAGTAGTATTATGTATTTAGTCAAATTATGTATTCTAACAAAAAATGTATGATTAAATGTGTAATATGTTAGCAATTTATGTATATATTAGCAATATATCTAGAAACTATTATGGGTCCCTATACGTTTGTAGCAAAATCTGCTTCACCATATATGTGAAAATAAATTGTAAATGTGACTTTTTTATGTGAAAAAAATCAAACCTTTAATACTTTTTTATATATAGCAGGTCAATTCTTAACTATTTGATATTGATATATGGAGATCCGCAGGATTATTGTCATGCATTTTTCATCAAACTGTGATACTATCATATAAAGAAAATGGGATTGACTGTTAAGTACAAATTGAATAAGACATGGTCATTTAAGATAACGTCTTATCTATATACAAGGAAATATAAGGAAAATAGACCACCGGCTGTAGTAGATAAACATAACATTTGATATATATATATATATATATATATATATATATATATATATGTATGTATGTGTGTGTATATATATATATATATATATAT